GGCTGGGGAATTCTGGGAGTTGAAGTCCACTCATCTTAAAGTGGCCAAGTTTGGACAACACTGGTATATGACGACCCATAATCTTTCTACCAATGGTTATTCTGACATGGGATAGTGGGAGTTATAGTCCATCAGATTTGGAGCACATCAGATTGGAGAATGTTGCCATATGAAATAATAGAGATTTGCTTGTTCCTATGCTTCATCTCAACCAACAGCAGAGTGGAAATACTGGAGACATGCATGTACATTCTATTCTCGGTAATGGTAGTATACTGAGTGCCTGTGAGATGCTCTTTAGAAGGGGAGTGTACAGTTGTTGATCACTCTTTGGGATGTACATGCATAATTACTGTATCTGTAGAAGCTGGATTGAACCAAGTGCTCACTAAGAAAATCAGAAATATAAAAGCAATATTAAAAACATGTAAGATAAAAGAAATCTAGCTTTTAATAATTAATTTTATATTAGCAATTTAATGGTTTGCCAACATAATAAATATTGCAATCTAGATTTCCCTCCTGACATGTTGAGCACCCTCCCCAAATTGATGCTACATACACATGTGGGATTTCAGCGCCTACACTTGACCATGCCATCTTCACTAAGAGTGATAGTTCCTGTAATCCAGGATATCTGGAAGGCACCAGCTTAAGGCAGATATTAGAAGGCAGCAGCCCTTTGGTTTTAGCAGAAAGGGTGATTCATAATATGTATCTTACCAACAATTATTTCAAGGTGTCTTTTTTTCCCCCTGTATCATGATAGTTGTGTATATTTATTAATCATATGCCACATTTCTGTTTGGAAAAAACATTCAAGGTAATTACAGTTAAGACAATGCAGACATAAAAATGAAGCAAAAATAATTACACAGTACATAAATATAAAACAGGAAGATACAAATATAAATATTTGTGTATTTATTGCAATTATTTATATCCCACTTTTTAGGATAACAATCCCCCTACAGCAGCTTCTATTTAAAATAAATATTTGCAAATAAAATTACAAATTTTTTTGTAAAATTACAAAAATTACAATATTTTAAAGCAAATTTCTAGGATCTTTCCCATATGGAAGGCAATGGTCTTCATGGGAGGGGTCCAGCAAGAGTCCAACTGGAGTAGGTGATGGTCTTTGACTTTCAAATATATATAAGCTTCCAGGTGCAATTTAAGGTGCTGGTTATCACCTATAAAACTCTTCATGGCACAGGGCTGTTTGCAAGACTGCCTATCTCCAACAGTCTCTGCTCATCCCACAAAATCTGGCAGAGTGAGCATGCTTCAGGTTCCTTCTATGAAACAATGTCACCTAAAAGGACCTAGGAAGCACGCTTATTGTACTTGGGCAACACTGGAGGATATATAGTTTTCCTTACAGAAGATTTCAGTGGTAGCTAAACACCAATGGATTATGAAAAGCAGAAGGCAGTGTTGTTCTTTAGGGGAAAAGAATCTCAAAATCTATTCCTAAGCAAACTCTTTGTAAGATGCATACAAACTTTGTCATGCTGATCACCACAACAGGCCTCTGACTGATGTGTCAAAAGCTGCAGTAATGAAACAGATCTTAATATTTGATACAATTTAAGGTACATTTCATTAAAAGTAAATTAATTACAATTACTCCATACTTATTTAATAAATTTCCTGTTCTGCAATATGAAAATTATAATTCAACAGCAGTTTTGAAGAGGCCCAAGGATAGGGACCACAGGTTGTGCTTTGTTGCTTTCTTAGAAACAAACAAACAAAGTAAGAAAGCATAACAACCAGCTTTGGTGTACTTGCAATCATCCTCACTGTTTTGTGACATTTGCTTGATCAAAGACACTATAAAGTGAAGTTTGGCTCCTCATGACTGCATGGATATATTCAGTTTGCCTTCTTTGAGCATATTGTTTTGACTTCCCCATCTTTCTACAGCCCTAAGATTCCCAGTGGTCTCCCATCCAAGTATTAACCAAGTTTGATCCTGCTTGGACTTAAACATATTTTCTAATGGTAGATTTTAGACCAATGAATGATTCTACACATGGTAGACTTGAGGACTGATGGTACAACTTTAATTTGCTACAAATCATAATTACATATTTATCCTAAATAAAAGTTAAAATCACTAGTAATTTCTATCAGCAGACAAGATGTGAGGTATGGGTTTTATAGGGTTTTACAGAATTGAAGTATGATAACAGTGTTTCTTAAAATTGTAACTATACTTCCTGAATACCAGTAGTCAAAAATTCCTCATGATAAACTCACAGGTAATTTGGATGACCCTCTACTTTGCTAATATAAATTGGCCCACTTCAGTTCTTTCTACCTCCCCACAAATCTCATCATGAGTTTGCTATTCAAACAGGTTCTTCCAAAGGATAGGTGACCATATAAATACCCAGTATGTTTTATTAAAAGTTTTTGTTGACATCAGCTGTTGCCCTCTCCTTCAGAATTGCCTGTCACAGCTGGAGAAGGAGGCCAATATAAATAGAAACTTAACTGGAGTGAATCCTCCCAGGACAATGGCCAACATTCAGCTGCTTCCTTTTAAAGTTTGGAAGCATTTTCTTTAGCTCCCAGGATAGGGCATGACTTAGAAGGCAGGGGGGCTTGAAAAGAGATAAAAATAGCAACCTGTTCAAGGAGAGCCTTTGCTGGCATTTCTTGAGTTTAGGAAAGCATGTCATATCAAAGATGATTTTGATAATGGTAGCATGAATTTAGTTAATGAAGAGGTAGGAAAAAAAAGACCAAAGAAAGCTAATGGAACAGTCAGTGGAGTCACCAATGGTCAAGCTTGAACTTTTTAATATAAATACATGTAAAATCAAGCCTATCCCACTCTCAAAATAAGTATTGTTGTTGTTCAATGATTACATGAAAAGAAAACTTATTTGCATACCCCAAGAATAAGACGTAATTTTGCCCTCTAGTCAAACCCCATTTAGGATGATCCATAGACTACAAGTAGAAAATAATAATACATTTTAAAGCAAACAATTAAAAGAATAAGAACCTCTAACAGTATGCATTTTCAGTCAACCACTCCCTGATTTTATATATATTGTGCATGTGTGTGTGTTAAATGAGAGGAAAACAAGTGAGCAAATACTATAGCTTCAATGTTAGGGAGCTTCAGCATACTGCTGTCTGTCCAGCTATTAAAGCTAGGCTTGTTTGCATTGTCTTTCACCTGTCACTCCCTGGATAATCATTTAGCAGTGCTCTGGACTGAAGGATTTTGAATACTAGCCCCAAGTTCTAGCTATATAAATGGATCCACTTTTCTTTGGTAATTTTTATTCCATATTACACGCCTCCTAAGCAGCTCAGCCAGTGCTGGGCTGGCTTTTAACCCTTTCCTTTTTACATGTTATATTGCTACAAATCTTGGAGTTTGAAATGGCTGCAGAGAGATATTGTAGCTGCCTCCAAGTATCTGAAGGGCTTCACGTAGAAAATTGGACAGAATTTTTCAGAGTTGTTGTGGAAGACAGGACAAAAAAGAATGGGTTTAAATTAAATCCCACAGGAAAAGTTGTTCAACAGTGAAACAGACTGCCATGAAAGGTGGTAGACTGTTCTTCCCTAGATGTGTTCAAATGGAGTCTAGATGGCTATCATTGGAAATCTATTGTTATGGTATTCAGCACTGCCTGGCAGTGGCTCTCCAGAGTTTTGAGACAGATTTTCAAGCCTTGAAAATCCTTCTAAAAAAACTCCAGAGAGCCACTGCTAGGCTGTGCTGACAATACCGCAACAACAGACCAACTGTCTCACTTAAATAGATTTCCAATATACGTTTCTCATTTTTCAGTGCAAACTGGCCTTGAACATTGTACTGTAGACTGTAGCAAGTACATTCTTCTTGCTCCCAAGCTTTTACCAAAACTATGTTATCTGAAACTCAATTGCTTAGCTTACTTTCTTCAGTAAGTCAAATATGTCGTCAGGCAATTATTACTTTTCCATCAATTTTATTTTG